ATGTCCTTAAAAGCTAATATTCGTCGGTAAAAATATTCGTGGATGGCAGTTAGCAAACTTCTTTTCACTTGGATCTATACTGGACTAGCTTCCAACACATGGCTTATAGTGGAATATGGAGTAATAGACAAAGACTTTGGCTCCTCCACTGGCTTGGAAATGGTAGTTAGAGCTCTGCATGGCCCGTTAATTAGTTTTTTATGCGTGGGTGGGTAGGGGTTAAAATTTCGTGGATAAAAATTAACCATGAAATTAACAAAAATTAATACCCCACAAAATTTACCAACCGTACGGTATATTTTTCCATATCTAGTGCAATCTTTCATTTATCAGATGAAAAATTAAAAAATCAAAGAGTCTACAGGTCTGGTAACCGGACACAGTATATATCTCATAATTATGATATCATCCTTTGATGTGGTCGCGTTTATATTTTTGTATATAAACCTACCATTCAGAAATGCTGTCATCATTATGGAATATGCACTATTAAAAGCAATGAATCATGGTTTCTATCTCTATCATGCTGCATGATAGAGAGATGAAGCCCAAGATTCAATTCTTTAAAAAGGGCATGAATGCAAAAGCAACTATAGGTATCTTGTTGCAAATGCATCTGACTGGCTGCCAAAAAATGCTATATGCAAGCATGTACAATGCACCACTGCTACCATCAACAAAATTATGCAATAAAAAAACTGATAAAAAGTGTGCATGAAAAAAGTATAGCATAAACTATAGTATGTCAATGTCTACTTAAATTTCTGCTGCTGAATGGTCAGTGTAGCAATAGCTTCATTACTTAACAAGACACCTGTAGGTGCATTGGTGCATTCAAAACTACATATTACCACTGTAGGGTCTTCATAGTGTAATTTAGATGTGAGAGTTTGGGTGTGGCTGCAAACTGACAGCATGCAGTTGTTACAGAACAAAGCTTGATTGCTAGAGTTGTCACAGAGTCACAGTCCAGTGAAACTGTAACAATGGTGTCTCTTGGACTAATTGATAGAAGAAGCTTGAGTTTCTTGGACTTCTTTTCACACACACATTTATTAGGCTCTATTTGTTGCTCCTGTCAAGCATATGAAGTTTATAAGCCTAAAGGTGGGCATCCACTATGCAGCATTGTTGCTTGCAACTTGTGGTTATATCTTTGTTGTGGTTGGGCAACATGTTGCATGAAGTAGAAAGACTCTCAACTTCATGCAACATGTTGTACAATCACATCAGAGTACTGGCAACAAAGTTGCATAGTGGATGCCTACCTTAAGCTATTCTTCCTAAGGACAAGCACCTCGTGTAAAGTCAAGAGGTACATGTAAGTGATTTTTAGACATTCCCTTCTTCAACGCAAAGAAAGTTGCTGAAAAATGCTACATATTTTTTGAAAAAAAGGTAATTTGTGTCTGTCTATAGATGCTAGAAAGCCCTGTTACTGGAAGCACTACAAAGTGACAGGATAACAGCTTTTGGTATCTTGCACTGCCATCTACATGCATACTTGATAAAACTGGAGAAGTAACTTTTCTTGCATGTGAAGAAGTTCTCTGAGGCTGAGTGTAAGAAACCCCTTCTAAAACCACAAAACCTTAAAGAAAGAGTTGAATGAATGAATGACAGGCACCACATTTAGCTACAGTCCTTGCCCACACTAATTGCTGGCAAGGCCAAAAACTCTATTCTACCAACATGGTTTGGTCATTTCATATTAAAGAAGGCAGAGAGTATGACATTACCTTAACACTCAGCCATGAGAAGTAAATAATATTGATGAGTAGGTAAATCATAACACTTACACTTTCCACAACTTGAGATCTAGCAACATTTATGTCAATACGTGATCTATCATTATTGTTGTTTGTTGTCAGTTTGCTCTGAAAATATGCCCTTTTATCTTGAAATGAAAATCCACCTATATATAGAATATTTGAAAATGAAACAAAAGAAAATAATAGAACTATAGTGGTGAGAAACAAAATTATAAGCTAGCAGACTGAACCTACTAAATCAATCAATTCCAAAATAAAATGGAAGCATTGTTGTTAATTATTAAAAAATTAAGTCATACATGTAGATGTTTAGAAACAAATCTCATATCTAAATAGCAATATTTGATTTACAAAATTATAGCTAGCACATGAGGCTTACTCTTAAAATCCAGAAATAAACAAGAAAAAAATTATTGTACCGTTGCAGTCTTCATAACATGTAATTTTACTAATTTTACGATATAAATTTACATTCATCAAATTTTTTCTCCATAAAATAGTGATAAACAGCAGCAATTAATTCTCTGTCAGGAGAAGTGAGTTTTAGTGGAGGTATAATACCATCATCAATAGTAAAAATTTCTGGAGAAGAATCCATAATGAACTACATCAAAAAATGAAAAAAAGAGGAAAATAAAGAAAAAGAACCTAATTTCAGTAAGGCATCATTGTTATGCATTTAAGGGTAACTGACATAAGACATAAAAGTTTAGGTTGTAAATGTTTTAAAATGCAAGCTGCCATTTTCTGCCATGTGCTGGATACTGCGCATGCACAGATTGCTCGTGCATCTCATTACAGATAAGCCTTTACTAAATGAATCTCGTTACTGATGTACATACTCCAATGAATCTCATATCTTGCAGTGAAATTGTTAACTGGCTGCAGTTAGGTGTACATGGCTTATGTACAACCTCGCGGTCCCTTTCATCTTACAGTAGCTATGGTACATATACATACATATAACAGATAAAGTTGCTTTCTTTCATCTAGTTATGCTCTTGTAGCATCCCGTGGCACCAAGCTGTGAACTGCCAAACCAGGGGACCTCTCTTCAGGTGAGAGCTCGTGTTTCACTCTACAGGGCCGAGATTTGCTTCAGAGGTAGAAAATCCCATCTAACGAAAAAGAAAGATTTTGTCCTAACTTCGTTGTTTGTGAGTTACAGTTGCTCAAAGTTTGTGATTTAGCCTCTTTGAGAATTTTTCAGCCTGGTGGCACTGGGGAAAGCAGGAATAACCAAACTCTCTCAGTCTCTTTTAAATATCTAAAATAATTTTCTAAGCCAACTCTTTCTTGGAATAGAGCTTCAGATGCTAAAATAAATTCCAGCTTTTCTTCTTTCTCCTACCCATGTGCCATGATTTAGTTAGTTGTTGACCACACCCATAGCTTATTTTAATTATCATTATAACTATGCAGTCAATAATATTTTTTTTCAAATTGCATAAAATATCACAGTACAAGTAATACATATCACTCAGGTGAATTCCAGCAGGCGAGTCCATTGCACCATAGTGCTTCATTTGTGATGTGATTGTAGTCAGCATGTTATACAATTTAAACAGTGTCTATAATGGCTAACCTGTGTACTACGACAGACTTTAAAAGTATACTTCTTAATAGTTATTCCAAAAAAGTTATAACGGCGGACTTGAAGCATCTACACAAAATAGTTAAAAATCAAGAAATGCAGTAAGTAACACAAAGTTAGCACTTTCAAGTACTGCAGCATAAGATTACCCTATGCAGCACATGTGCTTTACATGTATGTTACATTAATTTTGTATAAATTCTCAAAATTAAATTCATCAAAATTTGAAATGATACACCTAAATTGATGAATAACGCAAGCATTTATTATGAACAGTTTTACGAAGTTTTATGTCTACATATTGTAAGTGCTATGTGGTACAACCTGATGTATACAATAACTTACTGTTGGTGATATAAAACATCGTGCATCTTTCTTTTTTTTGTCTTTGATCTTTTTACAATGATAGCCTATCTGAAATACTAGTACTTTACGATTTTTCTCCATCCTCTTAGTATCTTTATCTAAAAAAAGAATGAAGTTATAAATGTGATATAATAAGGGAGCGGTGTATGAGTACCAGTTAAAACAATAGCATTAATAGTTTTTAGTGTCTTGTCCATATGCTTAACACTGCAGTGATAATAGCCAGGTTCTGCAAGTTTAACTAGGATCTCATATCCTTCTTCATTATTAAATAATTTGCTAACAATACAAGTCACATTAACTGAAGAGGTATCATCACTATCCTGCATAAAAGAATATACCGTAAATGTTCAAATAAAAGCCCGGGCGTTTATTTCTTTCCGGGACAAAAAAATGGCGTAAAATAAAAAAAG